ATGATATACGCATGCGTCAGGAATTTCTGTTCGAACAAACCTCACCTGCCGTCCGGGTCGGCGATTTTAAAAAGGTGGCAATTCTAGCACGGAATTTTTCATTACTTATTCTGTGACGAAACTGAATTTTAGTCTTTTAAATTGAAATACTTAAATAAGGAGGCGGTGAAATTTTCCTTCGCCCCGGGCGGCTGACACCGACGCTACGCCACTAGCCACAAGTACTGTACATATAATATATACTTGTGGTTCAATATACAAGTATATTTAAGGATTAACACAGGGGTGTCCAACCTTTTTGTTTCTCTGGGCCGCATTGGAAGAAGTCAAGGAGTTTTGGGCCACAAGTATATATAATATATACATACTTGTAATTTCCTTAAATATTCGGCCACAAGTATATATAATATATACTTGTGGCCGAATATACAAGTATATTTAAGGACTAACATGTGTAGATAATAATAATAAATATTATAACTTTATCAAGAAAAAAAATATGTTAAAAAATTACTTCTACAGACACTTTCAATTTTTACTTAGAAATAGATAAATTCATTTATTGTAAAAGAAACAAACGAAAATTTATTTGAAAAACACAAATATTTGTTTTATTTGTGTCTCTAATTAATAAAAACGACGAACCACCATTTTGAAGTGCATTTTTATTCAATTTATATAATTATAAATAATATGTAACCGAAAAAGTAGCCAAAGCGCCAAATGATATTTTTTACGTCAAACCAAAAAAAGTAGCCACATTTGGCCCAATGTAGCCAAATCTCGCAACGTTGGAAGAAATACTAAATAAAGCTGGAGCTGTGAATCAAAGGATTATAGACCCAAGTGCGGAAAAAAGAGGCAAAAAACAAAAGATAAAGAAGTGAAAAAGGTTGAAAAATTATGGGTCCATATTTGCTTAACAGAAGATCTATTTAACCTTTCTCACTACTACATCTTTTGTCCTTTCTCATCTTTCCCTCCTTTTCCCAAATTTGGGTATATAATTCTTTGAGACACAACTCCAGCTTTATTTAGTAATCCTTCCGCATTCACACATCTCCAAGTATTTGAAATATTTTCTTTCCACTCAAAAATAAAATATGAATAAAGGTTTACGGCTTTGTGAAACTTTTTTTTGAGTTTATGCCATTGAAATAAATAAATAATAAAAAATTAAAACATTTGTAGGTTTTGTTTACACGTTTATTGGGCCGCATTGGAACTTGCCTTGGGCCGCATGCGGCCCGCGGGCCGCGGGTTGGACACCCCTGCTTTAATGTAAAGTTACTCTCTGCTGTCAGATTAATCCATTTCTATCTTAATTGTTTAGTCATCAAAAAATAATGTGTAATTCTGTCTTTAGTATCCACAAGTTTCCAGAGAAGGGTCATGTATTTTCCACTGTTGTGCTGCCATTAAGGTATTGCAAGAACTACGAAACTACAGAACTATAGAATTGACAATATAATTGATTTTGAAATGACTAATAGAAATTCATTTATAACACCCACTTCCTTAATAATAGGTAAGGATTTTTATATTTTAAATCATAAAGAAATTTCAATTGTTTTTACACAAGTTTCAATTTTCTTTAACATTAAGAAAATAACATGCCACATGCATGGTGAGAAAATGTTTTTTAAAACTGATTAAAAAATTAAGAAAACTGAAATCTTTTTTTTTAGAAGATAATTGGCAAAATTGGTTTTTATAATCTATAATTTTATTAACATTTCACTGTTATTGTCTATCAGGAAATATTTATATCACCATTTTATTCTTAAAGTAGTCCAAAATATTCACAGAATATCATAAAATTAAGTCTAATGCAAAATTTTTGGATTTTTGAATAGTTTCTTCTACAAACTTGTATTTTCTCATTTATATTCAGATAGACAGTAATTTTCACTAATTAGTACTATAAAATCTAGTAGTGGAATAATGATATGAGAGAGTGGTCACTTTTGGAATATCCAGCTATATTTGAATACTTAATTAAAAGTAAAACCTGTGATTACCAAGAAATGCTTAATTATAATTGTTTGACTCAATTATTTTTCAAGTGGTAAAGTAGATAATTAATAAATTGTCCTTAAAACAAATGTAGAGCATTCACAAACTTTATCTGCAAGTTAATCATTTTGTATGAACTTGTGTGCTTAATGATGGAACATTTATTTATCTAGCTGGATTGTACATTTAATTTGGTTATGCATTCTCTTCCTAAATTTTCATTATGTGGAAACAAATGTAACTGAAACAATTCAATACCCAGACAATCTCAACACATCATATTTTTGTGTGCATCACATACAACTTCAAACCACTTACAAAGAATGCTCTGACTATTATGTCAGCCAACCACTGCCACAATACCTATGTGAACTGATTTTATAAGGCATGCTGCCAATGAAAAATTAAAACTTGCAGCTCTAGGTTACACTAACAACTAGCAGTAACTTAATGGTTGTCAAGATGTACGCCCTCATGTGGCAGAAGTCAAAAACACATTTTGGACACTTGTGGATATTCTAGTTTGTTTTCATAAATAACTTCTAACCTGTTGTAAAATTTTAATTCTGTACAACATGCAATTTGGCTTAACCTGATTCATGTTTAGAGTCCTCTGCCATTTGAATTACTGTATAACAAATCAAGTAAAATATCACTAATTATATCTAATTAATTTCTAATGTCATAAATAATTGAGTCCAATGATATTATTATTTAAAATAGTATATAAATTAAATTATTTCAATTCACTTTTGACAGTGTAAAAATTTATTAAATGAATATTAGTTTATACAATAAAACCTGTAAATGCCAGAATTCAATTGGACTAACTTGCTTTTCCATGTCTTGCAGGTGTTACCATTTTTGTACTGCTCTCTATTCCCTATACAAATACTCTGAAAATGTTTCTTTTCCTTTATATGGAATTAGTCGAAAAAATATTTTTAATGATTTACATATGTTTATTTAAGTTAAGTTGTATTTGTTGCAGATGTCTGAATATATTGTAAGGATTTTACATATAAATAAATAGACAAAGTTTACTTTTTAATAAAACAATGTAATTGACGTATTCTGAAACTGTGTCTTCTTTAATTTAGTAGGCGTTTTTTTTCAAGCTCCAATGATCCATAAAAAAAAGACAAGTGTAAATAACAAAATGAATTTATTATACCAAAAGTTAGGTACAAACACAGTTACTTTTCGACATAATCACTGTGAAGATTGAGGCATTTATAATATCTATGAACGAGCTTTTCCATCCCCTTGTCATAGAATGTTGCCGCCAATAACTTGAGATGGGCCCTAACGTTTTTTTGAAGATCGTCATTAGTCTCGAACCTCTGCCCTTCTAGCCACTTTTCCTGTTCAGGAAAGAGATGGAAGTCGCTCGGCACTAAATTGGGGCTATATGCTGGGTGTTTAAAGGTGGTGAAGACGTCCACCCAGCTTAAAACTTTTTTGTGTGTGAAGACTTCCATCTCTTTCCTGAACTGAAAACATGGCTAGCAGGGCAAAGGTTTGAGACTATTGAACTAATGACGACCTTCAAAACAACATTGTTAAGGCCATCTCAATTCACTGGTGGCAACATTCTATAACAAGGGGGATGGAAAAGCTCATCCACAGATATGACAATTTCTTCAATCTTTACAGTGATTATGTCAAAAAGAAACCATGTTTGTACCTAACTTTTGGTAATAAATTAATTTTGTTATTTACACTTGTCTTTGTTTTATGGACCATCAGAGATTGAAAAAAAAACAGCCCTTGTATTATTCATTACTTCACAATTGGGTGCACAGGTAGACACCAGGATCACCAGTGAAGACTAAGTGCTGTTTAGTGCACTAAGTTGGAAAATTTTAACAGTGAATATATGTATTTTAATAGTAGGTGTAATGGTTAGCACCTTTATATTAAACATCCTAAAGATAAAGGTGACAGATGAGGGGCATATGCCTGAAATGCATATTGGCTTGTAAGATATTCCTGAATAAAGATTGATGTTAAAAATGCCCAGTGTCTATATGTGCACCCAGTTGTGAAGTAAAAAATAAAAACAATGTAATGTCATTTGCTTAGTTCTCTTTGATTTTTTAATTAAGTTATTAAGATGTTTTTTGTAAGTCTGTAACCTTATTAAAAAATTCTTGTCTTCTTTAACTTTTCTAAATTCTTTCAAACCCTTCATGTAACTAAAAACTTGTGTTTAATTTAAAGACTCAGGCTCTTCTATTAGCTGGTTATGTATACTACTTCCTATATTTCGGTTGTAATAACACAGTTTCTTCCATTCCATTTGCATCTCACGGGTTTCAGTTTTCAGAGAACATTTGTTAAGTTAATACAATCATTTTACTGAAAAAATTTGAACTTTCCACCTCTGGAAGGTTTCCACCTGACACAGGTTCTGGCTTTCATAGATTTTACTGTACCAATATGTCAAAATTTTAAAATGCCATAACAGTCCTAATAATTACCTAAATTTTAAAAAGTTAAAATACAGAAATTCATCTACAGTATATTATTGAGGAAAATGATTTTTATAACTGAAAAACTGTTTAAATTGTATTTTATTTACTTGATTTTTTTTACAAAATTATTTTTAAAAACTAGAATGTTTCTAGCATATTGAATTTTATCCTAATTTTATCCCATCTTCTTTCCATTCAAATTCTTTAGATAAATATAATTAAAGAATTACTATATATCAAAACATTTTAAGAATAAACTTGTGTACATTACAGGTTTGAATGTCTTTTAGAATTTTAAACACAGCTGTATAAATATAAAAGAAAAAAAAATGACCATTATAATTGATAAAATATGAAAATAGAAATTTAAAATTAGTTTGAATGTGCTAAAATATAAAATGTGAAAAGTACTTACTTCTCTTTGCAGATACTGAAAATATAAGGTTTGTATTTGCAGCAGTAAAAGACAGCATTCTCCGGCAGAATTTGGAATGTAGTCTTGCATAGTTGTCCAGTGACTTAAAAAGAGATATCATTGTTGCCATAGAAATATGAAGTACATATATATGTATATATTATGAACTGTGATATTAGCAAAATTTCATTGAATCATTTAAATAGCCAGAGATTGTGACTACAAGAAACTGAATTGCCACAATTATAAATTTCCTTACTCTGTCCAGTAGCAGCAGTTGACAGATCATCACCACTTGAAATATTTTTAAGCATAGTGCTTCAGAAATGCAGGTGGTGTCAAATTTTTTATTTATGAAAGAGTCATAATAAAATACTGTAAATAAAATTTGTATTATTATAAAAAGAAAAAACTTGATTTTGTTAAAAGAAGAATTATAAATGATATAAATGAACATAAACTTTATAAATAATACAAATTTTTGGCCCTAAATAAAATAAGAAAATTATTCTAAAAATTAAATAACAAATGCTATAAAATATATTTTTTTTGTCTTAAAAATATTTTAATACCAATAAGCACAGGTAGATTGTGCAACATGTTTGTTTAGCATAAACTTACTACTACACTACACATTGAGAAAGGAAACTCCCATTTTTAACCTTAGTTTGTTTCATTTTCCATGCATAACTCCAAAAGTTTTAAACATTGATGATAATGTGTCTGCAAAATACTAAGAAAGAATTTCTTTTGTTATTTATTTATCAGTTTTCACTTTTGCTGCCCTTGTCTAACTTCAAATTTATATAATACCATGAAAAAAAAATCAGTTTGTATATGAGGTCTGAAGAAAAAGATATAATTCTTAAATGTGCCAGCCTTCCATTCATTTTTATTATACATATAGATTAAAACCAAGTTTAAAACATCAAAAAATAGATTTTCTTCTTTCCAGTGAAATGTTTATTAATGGAACAAATAATCATTTTCTTCTGTCCGAAATGCACAGAAGAAAATTGTGTCTTAAGGTCATTCTGTTCCGTGGCTATCAGTGGCGTGCAGTCATTGGAAGCGGTGGATGCGCCGCTTCCCTTGTATTTTCTAAAACATAAATACATATTAATTTTAATTATATGAAAATAATCGCACAATATTTTATTATAACCGCATTTAACTCCACGTGGTTCAGGATTCAGCGAATAAAGTACCATGCTTTTTGTTTTTGTTTCTAAAATCCAGTGGCGTGCCGTCATTGGAAGCGGTGGAATATTAGTGGCGGAGTGGAAGCGATGTATTGTCAACATCCAAAAAGCCAGATTTGTGCACGTGCTTTACAGAGCACCAACCTCACCCGGTTTAGCTGGTGGAAGCCCAGGACCTCGGATGGATGCTACACGTATACTGCATTCAATTCTATCCAGGACCGGTTCTGGGCTGTTAACTGCCTGTCCGCTAAATATTTGGCCGCCCTCGCCCGATTACGCGAACCACGAGTAGATTTATAACTTAACCCAACCGATAAGAATTTACTGGTATGTTTTTATGATAGTTCTGTATACAGTAGTTGATAGGAGTTTTAAAAAAATCCATTAAAATATTTGATATTTTTATTCCGCTCTCCCATCTTACATTACTTACAGATTTCAATGTTAAACCAGTGATGTTTCAATGTTAAACCAGTACATTTTCTTTAGATTTTAGAATTCACAATAACCATATAAAAAGCAATATATTTTTGTTTATTTATTTATTATATACTATTGTCCAACAGAAAAGTAAACTATCTTATTTACAAATCTTTTCAAAATAGACAGTTTGACCGGGCCCTTCTAAAAACCGAGCCCTAGACATTTGTCTCATTTGTCTATGCGATGATCTGGCCCTGTTAATACCAGATAAATGGAATGAAGTCATACTTACAATGATATTTAAACAAGGCAATAGAGATGAACCATCGAATTATAGACCAATCGCATTATTGTCAGGCTTCCGGAAAATATTTACTGCAATTTTAGCTGAATCTGGATTGAAAATTCAAGATCTGGATTGAAAAAAATAACTATAGGAATCCAACACAATATGCATTCGTAGATAAAGGAGGTACGCAAACAGCTCTTTTCGTCTTATTGACAACAATCCAACTACAATTGCTTAAGAAAAGGCACAAGGTCTCTGCGATCTTTTTAGACTTGGAAAAAGCATACGACTCGATTAGTATAGGAGATTTGCAGATCAAATTGGAGAAATATAACGCAAGTAACCATCTGATAAAAATAATAGGAAAATTATTCGGGAGATATGAGACGATTATCAAACAAAATAATAATGTCTGGCCGCCGTTTACAACGAATAGAGGATTGTTACAGGGTGATCCTTTTTCACCATACCTTTTTAATTTTTATCTTTTCGATCTGAATAATTGTTTTGAAAGAGAAAAAGATGGAATCTATATTTATAATCTAAGTATACATTCAATAACATACGCAGACGATATTGTTCTATTAGCACCGACAGCTGCGGCACTGCGTAGAAAAATTCAACAAATATCTGAATACCTGGAAAAACTAAAAGTAAAAATAAATCCGAAAAAGTCAGTAGTAATGATTTTTAGAAACTGTAGTAATCTACCTAATACGATCGATACTCAATGTCGTTCTACATTAAGAAAGAAGAAGTGAAAATAGTAAACGATGTTAAATTTTTAGGAATAATATTTACACCTAATTTATCATTTGAGAAACATTATAAGAGTACAATAAACAAGGCAAAAAACTTAATTAACAATTTAATAGTATTATTTTGTAAAATCAAAACGAAGAACGTGCAAACTCAATTTCAGCTGTTCAATTCAATTGTAATGAATTCAATGGTTTAGGCCTATGCTTCCCCAATTTGGAGCATAGGTAAATTTGATGAATTAGAAAAAATACAAAATATATTCATTCGTAGAATATTCCAATTGGATCAAATCCCAGGCAGTGCTCTTCGACTAGAAATTAATAGATACAAACTAAATACAACATTGATAAAAAGATATATTAACTTCTGGAGACTTAACAACAAAAACACTGTATTTACTATATGAAAAAATCAAGAGATACGGACTTTAAACGTAACTGGATAGTACAATTATCGAAGATTTTAAATTCATATGATTTTTCTATAGAATTATTCTTGGATCAGACTGACAGTTTTGAACTCTTGGGCATTTTATTGAAAGTTTTTGAAATTTTGCGAGTAGATTTGTGTATTATGGAGATTGTTGTTATTAAATCTTGGTAGTTAAAGGTCACGGGGTGGTGAGATAGAGAGGAATCCTGTTTCATATCTCGAGTAGGATCGGACTTAATGATTTTACTCGTTATTAGCATTTGCAATTTTTTTTTTAATATAAAATACATCCCTACTTCAAAATTAAGCGTTTTGATATTTTATAATAATTAAAATTATAAAAAAAATTTTAATAAAATATCATAGTTACACGCAGTTGTAAATGTTGCCGGGAAAGTTAAGCAACGCGTTTCTGAATATTTTTAATGCTATGTAATTTATGCATTATATATTTTACCGAAAAATAGCTATTTTTATAATATAATAAATTAAAATAACAGTTTAATCATATTTTAACTATAAATTCAATCGTACCAGAAATTTTCAAAAAACCCATGTTAAATATCAGAAAAATACAATTATTAGTACATGATCTACTCGATAGGTGTCTAACATCGCTAAGTAAGTGTTCTTAGAATCGTTACTAGAGGCGCTACAATCATTTCACAGCCATGTGTTATTGCAGTTAGACGCTTATCGCTATTCCATTTAATAATGTCCTTCCTGCTTCGTTCGTAGTTTCGTAATTAAATTATCTTCGAACCACCGGCAAACTTTATTATCGATCGTATTATTTTTTATTACGTTTCTGTGATATGCTAAATAAAACTTATTTGGAAATTATTTTTAATTATTTTGATATTAGTTGTCGGTTATTCACCACGCCCAAAAAGTAAAAAAAAACATCTCGATACGGATGTCGCCTTCCTCTAATAAAATGAGAAATTTTTTAATGTTTTCACGCATTTTATTTTACTGAATTATTGTTTGTTAAATATTTTTTATTATTATTTTCACGCATTTATTACAAATATAGAAATAATTACGAACGGAAGTATATTTGCCTATTTTGTAGAAATAAGTCAAACATGGCGTGTTGTTTAAGCGATGAAGAGAGGGAACAGAGACGAATTAATCAGGAAATCGAAAAACAATTGAAAAGAGATAAAAAAGATTCACGTAGAGAACTTAAATTACTTTTACTGGGTAAGTGATTCATTTTACAATCATATGTATTTTCTTACCTATATATAATTAATACAAATGTATGTTATACGTGTATATATATTATTACTCACCTACATTATATATATATATGTGCATTATATTAATGTATATATACACAGTTACTCAAATGTGTAAATTTGATGTTTGTTAAATCATGACGGAGATTATAAATGTTTTTCCTGTTTAGATTAACAGTGTTGTATTTAAATTCTAAAACTTCTATTTTTGTACTTAAAGGAAAAATAGAAGTTTTGATGTACACTACAGTACGTTTCAATGGTTTTTTTTTTTAATTGGTTGGTTGCAAAATTTTGAAAATGTTTATTAATTTGAGTATGTGATTGTATGCAATATGTTTATTATATTATTGTGTTTGACTAATGAATTTTATTATATTTTTTGTACAACTTTATGTTGTTGTTGTAATCAACACACAAATAGAATTTCGTAGATACTTGTCTTAATTTATACCTAAAAATCTTGAAATTTTTAGATTAAGATAAAACTTTTAAATTGGTTATATTTTAGAATCTTTGAATAAGATAATTATATAAATGTAGTTTATTGCTTTGTACTAAACAGATGGATCAAATCTGTGTAACTGAAAAAATTGTACAGTTTATTTATATGTCCTAGAAAATCTTCACTATTTTTAACAAAATTTAATATTTTTAATATCTTATAAATTAGTTGAAGACAGCATACCATGTTTTTAAAATTTATATTTTATAACATTTAAAAAACATTGTAAAATGTTTTTACATAATAATCAGCTATAACTTTATGTTGGATCTAAATTTCTTTCATTTTTAGTCACAGCATGGTTCCAGGATTGTCTATTAAAATATTTTTAATATAATGATTTATGATGTACAGTATTATGGTTTCATTATAGAATATGAAAATTAATATAACAAATAGCCGATTTATCCAGCAAGGAACCCAAAGTTTACTTTTTCTTAAAATACATTTAACAACCTCAATTACAATCTTTTTCTTTCTTTTGACACATACATAGCAAAATATACCATGTACTTAAAATAAAAACCAACAATACACATAACGTGATACAAACATCATCAAATATTTAATTACATACAACCATTACTTAATTTGCACAACAAATGCCAAGAATAATAATAAATACACAAAATTAATTCAAACATATACATATTTCAACATGATATTAACATATTACATTTGACAACTTTACACTATTAATTAAACTATAAAATTAAAGGATATCCTTCATCCACAAACATTTACAAAAACATATAAATACAAAATTCGTAAATCTGAAATAAACCAACATGTACAATTTATACTAAAGCTATAGTATTTTTCATATTTCTTTATTGGGGAAGTTATGTTTTCCTCCTTCTTCTCTTTTCATTCTTCCTTTTCCTTTATTTTCCTCCCTATCAAGAACCAGACTGGTCTTGTCCAACCATTCCTATTTTAGTATATGAAATTATCGCTTCTTTAACAACTACATGAAAGTTAATTTTTTAAGATCTATATCTTACCTAAAGAGATTTCCACATATTAAATGTTACTACTACACCACTACACAACCAATAATCTTAATATTCTTAGACTCCATTAGAAAATTCCAAAACTTCACAACACTTTCTTAAATAACATAACAAAATAAAATTATTTCTTCCCATTCCACAGCTTTATAACATTTACAACTCTTGCACATTCTTCTAAAGTGTTATATATTAATTACTTACACTATTTTAAACAGTCCTTTGATTCCTATTTATCTTCCTCTTTTCATCTTCTATTACAATATCATAGTAGTTCATATCCACCTCCTTTTGTCACCCATATTACATTTTCTGTATCACTGTACAGTGCTCAATTTCTGTACCATTCATTTTTGTCATATCCATTTTCAACTTCTTGCCTCTGTTCTAATCTTCTCAATCTCCATATTTGCTTCAATCTTCTTTTCATCACATATTTAATAACATTGATCTTTCATAATGCTTTCTTTGCCAAGGTGATTAACCAATTCAATATATATATATAGTCTTAACTTTAATATGATAATTTATAACTTTACCATATCCCATGTTTTATCTATTCTCCATCTTTCATCCGTCCACTGCCACACCTTTTTAGCCCTTTCACATCATAAAACACATGGAATATATTTTCCTCTCTTCCACAAGCAGAGCTTCTTGCTATGTTTCATTGCAAGAAACACTCATGATCACTGCATTGAATGTCATCCTCTATTCTGTCTCATGCCATTCAGTCAGCAGATACTTAAAATTAGCATAAACCAATTGCAATTAATCATGGGATGCAACATCCATTCCAACCTGCACTGGAACCCCGGTTAATAAACGTCCTGGTTAACGACCAAATCTGTTAACGAATTTTTATTTTGCAAAAATTTTGTCTCAGATAACGAACTTAATGGCTTTTTGTGTCAAATTTGTAAGCTTGCCGACTTTTAGGGGGAATCAGTTAATCATGTGTCGGTGATGGTCTAGAGTCCATTCGTACATTGGTAGTGGCGGAGAAGACAAAGATGACAAGTATTTTACAGTGAAAATTGTTTATTAGAACGGGAAGATGCTTACATATTTGAGGTAGTTGGAAATGGCTTATCTACAGTATTTTCTCCCGGCATTGAGAAGTGGCGTATCGCTGGTCCTATGATAGTGCAAGCTGATCAGTCGTAGCCCCAGAGCAGACGAGATGGGTTCACTTGGTCACAGAAGCGATGGTAGGTGACAGAGCTGCAATGACTGGAGCAGTCCGCAAGATACAACACAAATTTTAGTGGGTACGACTTCAGGCTTAATTCAGATGAAGATGACACAGATTAATCGCCATAGAATTTTTAGATAAACTGCGTTTTGACCTTGAGATTTGGGGTTTTTATAGTATTTTTTCCTTGAATCTCACCTTACGATTAGTTCTGCATCCCATTCCTCGCATCCCGATTGTTTTCTTCTTTGTCTCCAGGTGAAAACTGAAACCAGATCAGGTCACGAGAAAGGTTTGTTCCAAGGCGTTTATTTGACACCTGTTCGTCGACTCTGATTGGAGATTGTTGATAAGCTTATAAGCCAGGGGTGGCCAACCTGCGGCTCTTTGAATGATTATTTGTGGCTCTTGATAAATGTACCCGAGTTCCGTTTTCATTTTTGTGTTATTATATTTTAAAAAATTATTATTGTTCCGTATGTGTTTCAAAATGTCTTTTAAATTACTAACAACAAATATGAAAGATTAAGTGCAACGTTGTAACAAATTTCATTTCCGTCCAAGTTAAGAATGATATGACTCATGGAAAACTGCGCGAACGAACATAAACAGTGGCGTAATCGTCCGTTATCGACCGACTCCAGACCGATTTTGAATTTGTAAACTGTCATTGCAATGGACAGTTGACATTGTGCTCTGGAGGAAACAATTTGTATCACTCTTGCTACGGATATAATTTGTAATCTGGAATTTTTTGCATACCTTTTTAATACGTATTTAATTGCGGCTCGCGAAAAATTTCAAATTTTGAAAAATGGCTCGGACTATCAAGAAGCCTGGCCACCCCTGTTATAAGCCTTTCACTCATAATTTAGCCTATTGTTTCTGCTATGTGTGATTTTAGAACTTTAACGATCGTATGTGATGTTTTTATACCTGTCAAATCTTTCCCCTTTTCCGAAAATTTAACCTAGATTGACTTTTTATGAGCACGTTTTCCTATATTTTCATTAAAGAAAACCCATTTTACAAATAAAATTACAAAAATACTGATGGCTAGAACGGATTAATTGTATTTGCATTAATTTCTATGAGAAAAATTGCTTCGGTTAACGAATGGACTCGTGGAACAGATTACATTTGTTAACTAGGGTTCCACTGTACTTTAATTGTGTACCATATTGTAAATCGTCCACAGTTGTATTTTCATATTTTTATCAAACAGTTGCTTGTCTTTGTCATACACATAACTACTGTATATTTGTTCTCCATTCCCTAAAGTTGTCATTGTTAATAACTAGAAAAATAAACTTCATACATTTTGTAACTACTGTTATTACAGGCCCAATAATATATTTCATCAAATCAACCAAAGGATGTAAACTTTCTCTTACAACATTAATTACTAATGCCAACTGTAAAGATTCTGCCAAGTCACAAATGTTTCATATCTTTTATTCCCCATTTTTGTATTTATTTTTAATTATATTTTTACTTACTACTTTATAAGGGTTGTTCCAGATATATATACAGTAGAGTGTTGATTATCCGAATCAATTGGGGGGTTGTTGAGAAAATCGATATTTCAGATAACCAATTATGTACGAAAAAATATATTAACCTATCCCATGTTGAAATTTTTCTCTGTTGCGTGTCGCTTCACGTTGAATTTTTGTCGATGTTAAGCCTAACAAAAACTTTTTAAAATAATAATCGTGACTACTGTATCATTAAAAAGTATTTCTTTATTTTGTACGAACAAAATAAATATATTGAAAAATATAAAAACAATAAAAAATTATATTTAGTATCAAAAACATAAAATATTTGAGTATCCCAAGACATAGCCAAAGATTGCAGCGCCACAGCACTGGTGAAAATTTAAATTTGCTGACTGGAATTCTTTCAGATAATTGACTTTCGGATAATTGACGCTCTACTGTATATTGAAGACAAATTCTTTCCAACCATAGTCATAGCAGCCTGTCACGACAAGCCTGCTGGCCCATCAGCTTGCATTGGTAGACCAGTACTCGTGACCTTTTACAATACATCTTCCACACAAGACTATGATCAAAATCTGTGAAAAAAATAATTTTAAAATATTTATTTTACCACAGTTTTTACTTTTATTAAATTTCATTTTGTATTTTCACCATATTCATGACCATCTATTAAGTGATATGTAATAATTTGACTGTGACTCAAAAATTAAAAGAAAGATAAATTTTTTCAAAATGTTTATTATTATA